CCAGAAGATTCTCAGCCGTTGGTTTGCGTGAGTACTGCGCCAGCTGACTGGCGATGTACGAGAGGTCTGGCCTGCAGGTGACAGAGGCGAAGAGGAGGCATCCCAACTGCTGCTGGTAAGTCTGAATCCCAGCAGGGGATAGGGGTTTGTTGTCGGGTTTGTGGTTCGGTCCGGGAGTTCGGTAGGGAGTTGAGAGAGGTGCAGGTGAAATGTTGAACCGCTTCCCTAACTCTTCTGCATACTTAGCCGCTGAGAGATGAATGGCCTCAGGCGTGTAGGAGATGTTGAGGCCTAGAAACTGCTTCACCTCGTAGTTGCACGATTGCTCCAAGATTGCTGCAGCGAGAGGGACGACCAAGAGGAACGACTGCGGGTGTTGCCTCAGTTTCCTCAGCTTCATCCTCTCCCCCCTTTTGTTCTTCGCGGAAAGTACCCCAACCGCTATTGTCGGCGCTAGTTGCGGCGCCCAATCCGCCGCTCGCGTTGGCCCAGGTTCCGCCGTTGTCTCCCCAGCCGCTAGTGTCACTTGTTCCCCATCCTCCAGCGCTCCCCCACCCCCCTTCATTGGAGGCACGTTCTTCAGCCTCAGCTCCCCAGGTGGCGCAAGCGAAGGTCTTACGTGCTTCTACGAGGCTTTGCTGGCGAAGCTCCTCAGCTTCGCGGCGTGCCATTTCTTCCTCTCGCTCCGCGGTGAGTTTCTTCGATGAGTCGCGTCGATGAGAGTAGATGGTCAGAAACCTCTTGTAGGTGTAGGGTCGCGGCTCGCCATGGGCACCAAAGGTGCCAACGCCAGTTCCGCGCAGCATGCCTTGAAGGTCCTGTGAGGGGGGACCGATGAGGGGGTGCTCTGGCGTGCCAAAAAAAAAATGCCGTTGGTAGTGACTTCAAGCTCGAGCTGCGACATCCCTTCCTCTGGGGGCGCGTGGCGCTCTGCTTCAGCGATGGCGGCGATTCCGCGGCCGGCAATCGCGCTCGTTGATGTCGTCGGCGTGTAACAATCCCTGCAGATGCCATCTGGATCAGGGTTGTGTAACGCCGTTTTGCGTGGGTGGGGATGGTGCGGCACCCTCGGTCTGCCGTCAGGGTGCTTCCAATCCCTGCGGTGGATGTGCTTGAAGCGCGGTGGCACGAGATCAAACAACTCGTGCGAGTCGCCGCTCCAGTCGGGAATGTCGAAATCTAGGACATACACTCCATTTTCGGAGTGCGCTCATACGATCTGCCTGCGGGGAAATGTGTGCGATTCGTAGTGCAGCAGGATGTCTCGCGTCTCGTGATCCGTGCTGAGGTCGACGCCGCAGTCCATGAGCTGTGCGGTGGACAGGAGGTTGAAGCGCAGGTTCTGGACGATCAGCACATCGTTAAGTGTGATGTGCGTGCGGCTTCCACGTGCTTTGAGCACGACAATGCCTTGTGCGCTTGCGCGCAGGCGTGTGTTGTTCGCCACAGTGACGTAAGTGACTGTAGGGGTGGGGACGGCGCTGGATATGTAACACTCGGAGCCCACCATATGCTGGCCGCAGCAGCTGTCCAGGTACCAAGTGTTGTAGCGCTTGTTGTCGTCACGTGCGAGCAGCGCCAATCGCGGTGTGATGATGTGTGGGGTGTCGAACTTCAGAAATTGCTCGCGCGAGAGCCAATCAAGTGGCGCCACCCGCATGTCTGGTATGTGCAGGGGACTTTCAAGCAGCGGGACTGGGAGGTTCCAGTCCTGGTCGTCATCGTCGTTGAAGTTACGGCGCGGGCTGAACAGGTTGTTGTTGGTGAACGCGCTGATGGGGTGCGGTGCTGGCTCAGGTGAGGGTGAGCGAACACGGCGACGACGTGACTCGCCTGTCATGGCCATGTTGCTCATGGCGTTGCGCGTAGGGGCAGTTGATGGCTGCTGCTGCTGATGCTGAACGGTTGAGTTCAGATTGCGCGCGGGTGGGGGTTGATACCCTTGGGCTGGACGCACGTCGCCTCGTGCGTCTTGTCGGCCGGACCAGTTGCTCGGATTGGTCTGGCGAGGGCGAGATCGGAACTTACTTCGATCCGCTAAATGCCCGAAATTTCTGCAGATTTTGCAGTAGAGGCGCCGCGGTCGTCGCTCTTCATTGTTGTCGGCGTAGAAGGCGAGCCGTTCGCGTTCTCGTCGTGGCGCTGGTCGCTGCTGATCCATATCCCGTTGTTCGACGAGAAGGGCGGCGCAAAGGGCGGCCTCCGAGATGACCCCCTGCTGTCGGAGGAGCGCCTTGCAGGGCCGCCACTCTGGGCCAAGCCCTTGAAGCACAATGTTCACGAAGATTTCCTCGGAAATCGAGCTTCCCGACTTCACGATTTGATCGCGAAGGCTCCGACAGCGGTTGATGTAGCTGTTGACCTTCTCCCCTGAGGTCATCTTAGTTTCCAGCAGTTGCTGGAGTAGTCGGCTCGAGGAGACGGAGTCCTTGGGCTGATACATGCCGTTCAGGTGGCGCCAAGCGTCGAGGGCTGGGGCAGCCGAAGTCTTGTATGAACGAATGTTCAGCTGCTCCGCCGGCGACATGTTACGCAGAAGAATCCCGTACGCATTAGGGACTCGTTATAGTAGCGACTCCTGGCGTCGTCGGTGTCCTCAGCAGGTCCCGAGTAGCTCCCGTCGAAATAATGATAAATCTGCGCGTTTTGCAGCAGCAGCTCCAGCTCGAAGCTCCATGTGTAAAAGTCTCTGCCGTCAAAGCACACACTTGTCTTTATTTTTGATATGCTCAAAAACCTTGATTGCGCAGAGAGAATTGCTTCATCGCTGGGACAGGGAGTCTTGGGGGTTGAGCCATTCGTATCTAGGGAGAAGCCTTGCGGGGCGGAGTTTTGGCCGTTTGACGCCGGTTGAGTGGGTTGGGAAGAGGTTCCCGCGTCGCCATTCCGCAATGTTTGGAGTCCTTGCTCCAGGCTCGTGAGTCGCTGAAGCAGTTGTGCGAGGACGGCGGAAGGGATCGTCGTCGTTTCCTCGTTTGTCGCAGCCGGGTTGGGCTGCGCTTCAGCCGTCAGATTCGTCTGACCACCAGATCCTTCGGCCATTCTCACACGCGAGCGTGTGCCGGACGCCACTTTCCGAATGTCGTAATTTTCGGGAGTGGCAGTGCGAAGGATTCCCGAGCTGCTCTCATACCATGCTGCGATCAGAAGTTGATCGTGGCCTAGGATCTACTCAGGAAGGTTCGCACGCAGAGAAGTGATGTTGGTGGGCCCTTGACCTCAATAGCAAAGTGAATGTAAAATGCTTTGAGATGAAATAGAACATGCAAATACAGCAAATATAAATATGAGTACTGGGGAGATGAAACGACCTAGCTAGCCATGTACTCTAAGGGGTACATTCCCTTATTCAAATACATTCCCAACCGTGCGGCGCGAACAGTTACGAAACTGTTCCCGCCGAAACCATCCTACCTGTAGCTACCTGATGCTGTCTGTTCCGACGGTCCAGATGCGTTCCAACTGTTTGACGCTTCAAGTAGATTTCCAACCGTCTGACGCTTCGCGTTCATTCGCGATACTGCGTGCTTCCCTTTGCTGCGGTGAGGAGTGCACAGTAATATTCAAGGTATTACTATTCATAACAGCGCTTATATCCGGGGGGTGACAGTAGTCGCCTGCTGTGCACAAAAGCCTGCGAGCCAGCCAACAAAATCTGGGTGAAAGGAGTTCTACCGTACACGGTACAAGTTTGAACATTTAGCCGAAATGTACGATATCGTATTTGTTATCAGTGCCAAGAGTCACGACTCACAACCATAACTCGCTATGGTATCGTGATTCCAGCATCGTGACCAAGAAAAAGGTCGGTACTCCAGATTTGAATCAGCAGCAGCATGGAAAGGAGGAGGGAAGGAAGGAAGCCAACATGGGTACCCCCTTGCACTTACTCGTACCTAGTGTTCCCCAGAGTGGACCCACCTGCCCCCAAGTTCCAGTTACCGTTTTCTCCCCTGCAGACCCCCTCCCCCCACCCCTCCTCATCCCCCCTTCCCCCCCCTTCCAACCCCTTCCACTCCCCTCTTTCTTCCTCCCTCCCTCCCTCCCCACCTCACCCTTCCCCAACCTCTGAACCTCTATCAATCCTGCGCCTCAGAAGGGTGGGGGGGTAACATGAGGCGGGGGGGGGGGGGGGGGGCGGGTGGGGGGGCGCCGGCGCTGCCCAAGTGGCGATGCCGGTGGTCAGCCAGGTTCACCAGCAGCACCATGCCCGCACCGCATCCCTCAGGCGCGCCATCACGTGTGTCTCAATGAAGGGTGCTGCCAGCCGCAACACTCTCCCCCCTCCCCCCCCTCCTTTCGTCCCCCTTCCGCTCATACCTCCCCCCAGCCCCCAGCCCCCACCCCCCAGCCCCCAACCCCTGAACCTCCATCAGTCGTGCACGGTATGCAGTGGATGTCTCCCTACCCCCCACTTCCCTGCTCCACCCCCCTTCTTCCGCCTCAGAAGGGCGGGGGGGACATGGGGTGGGCGGGGGCGCCGGCGCTGGTCGGCCTGGTTTGCCAGCGGCACGCCCGCGACCCTCACATACATCTCTATTAAGCGCGCTGCCAGCCAAAACACTCCCCCCCTCCCCCCCCTCCTTTCGTCCCCCTTATACCTCCCCCCAGCCCCCAGCCCCCACCCCCCAGCCCCCAGCCCCTGAACCTCCATCAGTCGTGCACGGTATGCAGTGGATGTCTCCCTACCCCCCACTTCCCTGCTCCACCCCCCTTCTTCCGCCTCAGAAGGGCGGGGGGGACATGGGGTGGGCGGGGGCGCCGGCGCTGGTCGGCCTGGTTTGCCAGCGGCACGCCCGCGACCCTCACATACATCTCTATTAAGCACGCTGCCAGCCAAAACACTCCCCCCCTCCCCCCCCTCCTTTCGTCCCCCATATACCTCCCCCCAGCCCCCAGGCCCCAGCCCCCAGCCCCCAAACCCCAACCTCCAACCGTGGTGCACGGTATGCAGCGCGTGTCTCCCTACCCTCCACTTCCTCCACCCCCATTCTTCCGCCTCAGAAGGGCGGGGCAAACGAGGGGCGGGCGGGGGCGCCGGCGCTGCCAAAGTGTTTGTGGTGTTGGTCCGCCTCATTCACCAGCGGCACGCCCGAGTCCCTGAGGCGCGCGATCACATGCGTCTCTATCAAGCGCGCCGCGCTCTTGCTGGGCGCTGCGATGATGGCCACTGGTGCCTCGCGCAACAGCCTCTTCTCCCGGTGCTTCTTTATGCGCACTGATATCTGGTCCGTCTGGGGGAAGGAGGGTTGGGAAGGAGGGTTGGGAAGGAGGGTGGGAAGGAGGGTTGGGAAGGAGGGTTGGGAAGGAGGGTGAGCAAGGAGGGTTGGGAAGGAGGATGGGCAAGGAGGGTTGGGAAGGAGGGTTGGGAAGGAGCATGGGGACAGGGATGATGTGGGTGTTTGCGTAGGAGAAAATGGCTGAGGGGTAGGGGGGAAAAGGGGGTCAGAAGAGTGACAAGCGGGGGGGGGGGGGGGGGGGGGGGGGGGGGGGTGCGGTGTGGGGTTGGGAGGGGAGGAGAGGAGGAGCTGGAGGGCGCTCTTGCTGGGATGATGGCCGCTGGTGACTCGCGCAATGGTCGCATCAGCTTGTCCTACGAGGCGGAAAGGAGGGAGAGGAGGGGTGCGACGTGGGGAGGGATGGGGGAGGGAGGTTGGTAACCGGGAGCCAGGAGAGGCAGGGGCTGCTGGGAGAGTTCACTGACTACATCCGCGTGAGTGATATTTCCTTTTGAGGCGCTTGAAATGATTCCTTTTGACGCGCCTTGCATGTATCTTCTTCTGAGGCGCCTTGCATGTATCTTCTTCTGAGGCGCCTTGCATGTATCTTCTTCTGAGGCGCCTTGCATGTATCTTCTTCTGAGGCGCCTTGCATGTATCTTCTTCTGAGGCGCCTTGCATGTATCTTCTTTTGAGGCGCCTTGCATGTATCTTCTTTTGAGGCGCCTTGCATGTATCTTCTTTTGAGGCGCCTTGCATGTATCTTCTTTTGAGGCGCCTTGCATGTATCTTCTTCTGAGGCGCCTTGCATGTATCTTCTTCTGAGGCGCCTTGCATGTATCTTCTTCTGAGGCGCCTTGCATGTATCTTCTTCTGAGGCGCCTTGCATGTATCTTCTTCTGAGGCGCCTTGCATGTATCTTCTTTTGAGGCGCCTTGCATGTATCTTCTTTTGAGGCGCCTTGCATGTATCTTCTTTTGAGGCGCCTTGCATGTATCTTCTTCTGAGGCGCCTTGCATGTATCTTCTTCTGAGGCGCCTTGCATGTATCTTCTTCTGAGGCGCCTTGCATGTATCTTCTTCTGAGGCGCCTTGCATGTATCTTCTTCTGAGGCGCTGCAAAATTGGTTGATGGGAGGTTCTATGTGTACCTGCTGTGTCGCGTCGGGGCGACACAGCAGGTACACATAAGAAGATGACTCTGTTGAGGCGCATCACACGAAGTCTGTTCTGTATCAGAAGCACACCCACCAACAAGCCGACCAACGCACCTCGCCCAAATGAAACTGATTCTTGAGCCGATTTCAGAACCACCATACACCAGAAGCCCACCCACCCACCCACCAACAACCCACGCACACACGCACCTCGCCCACATAGAACCTCCCATCAGGGCGGCACAGCAGGTACACAAACGACTGGTGGTTAGCCACCGATGCAGACGGCATCTGCTTCCCCATCACCACCACCGCTCGCACCCCCTCTCTCGAAAGCCCCTCTCCCCCACCCCTTCCCGCACCTCGCTCTAACCCCACCGCCCCCGCAACACCAACACCACCCACAGCCTCCCCTGCTGCTCTCAACAGGCCCATCGGGCCCTGAGCAGGGCGCTGCACCCCCTCCTCTTTCTCTGCTGTGATCTCATGGTCCTGCCTTGAACCCCCTTCGATGCGCTGCAGAGTCGCTTGCTCCATGCTCGCTCTATTCCAATCCAGCATCGTCATCGCCTCTGCGGTTACAGCTTCAAACATCCAGACCGCATCTTTCAAAGCCAGATACGGAGCGACAGCAGCACGAGCACCAACACCACCTCCACCACCACCGGCACTACCACAGGCACCCATGGCACCGTTACTGGCAGTGCGACTGCCACCAATGCCACCACTGCCAGCACTGCCAGCACCAGTGGGCCTCATGCCACTTGATACGCCTCCTCCTCTCTTTCTTGCTTTTGGTCGAAGAATTCGACCATCCAACTCCTCCTCGTCTTCCTCTTCCTCCTCCTCCTCTCCCCACGTTCCTTCGATGTCACTTTCACCTCCCGAAAGGACCCCACTCTCTTCCATGCTCGTCCATCCACCACCATTCAACGCTGCTTCGTGCTGCCCCCCACCTGCCCCGTCACCACGTATCCCATCCATTCCACTACCAACACTACCCCCAACCCCGTGACTGAGCGCAGAAGAAGGAGCAGCCGCAGCTGCCCCATTCCCACTGCCGCCACCACCTACACTAGCTTGCGCTGCATCCCATGGCATAAGCAATCTTTTCCCTGTTCTCTCCTCCTCTCGCTGCTTCTGCTGCTGCTGCTGCTGTAGAGCCAGGATATCATGTGCGTGTCGCAGCTGAGCCTCCTGCTGCTGCAGGTGCTCCAGCAGCACAGCAGCGCGGTCCACCACTGCTGTCGGCACGCCTTCTTTCACTGCCACCTCGAACGCCAGGCTGTCACTGCAGGGGGAAACGAGAGGGGGGGAAACAAGAGGGGGGGAGAGGAGGGGCCCAGAAGAAGGCAGAGGGGGAGATAGTGGGAGTTTGAGGTGCCTCACAAGTGCAGCAGCACAGCAGCGCGGTCCACCACTGCTGTCAGCACGCCTTCTTTCACTGCCACCTCAAACGCCAGGCTGTCACTGCAGGGGGAAGTGTAGGGAGTGCGGTCCCCCACTGCTGCAGGCTCGCCCTACCTTGCTGCCACTTTCAATGCCAGGCTGTCACTGCAGGGAGGGGAGAGGGAGGGGCAGAGAGGGGTTGGGCAAGGCAGGGATGGTACAGGCACCAAGTGAAAAGCTATTTCTTGAGACTTCTCAAAGAGTGGTAGGGGTGGGCAAGGCAGGGACGAGTGACACGAATGGTCGCGATGGAAGCAGAGATTGTGCAGATGGGTTGGAAAGGCGTGCCCTCCCTCCCTCCCTCCCTCCCTCCCTCCCTCCCTCCCTCCCTCCCTCCCTCCCTCCCTCCCTCACTCACTCAATGCCACCTCGAACGCCAGGCTGCTGCTGCAACAGGCAGCCGCTGCAACAGGCAGAGGAGCAGGAGCTACCCCAGGAATGGTTCAGCCATTCTCAAAAGCACACCCTGCAACAGGCGAGGAGCAGGTGCTGTCCCAGGGATGGTTCAATCAAAGAGGTAGGTTGAGTTGCTTGCACAGGTTGCATTGCACGCAGTGGGTATGAACCGCGGGCCCTCAACTCACTTGTACTCGTCGGCACTCCCCGGCACTCATACGCACCCGGCCGACTATGAATGAATGAACGAACGAACGAACGAACGAACGAACGGACGGACGGACGGACGGACGGACGGACGGACGGGCGGACGGACGGACGGACGGAACGAACGAACGACGGAGCGGCGGAACGGCGGAACGGCGGAACGGCCGAACGAACGAACGAACGGACGAACGGACGAACGGACGAACGGACGAACGGACGAACAGACGAACGGACAGACGAACGAACGAACGAACGAAAGAACGAACGAACGAACGAACCTCAGAGCCAGCCCCCCCAGCCAGGAGAGTGCAGATAGCATTTTTGAGACGCCTCAGAAGCAGGCAGGCACAGAACAGAATTCGCCTCGCCGGCACTTTCTCCGAGTAACCTTCCAGGTTCCCACTTCAAATGGACTGGACGGTTCAAATCTCTCACAACGCCACCACAATTCAATTCAAGAGATCCTTCTGAGAAAAGTCCATCTGCTTCAAGCAGGCTCAGCTCAAGTCAACCCTATTCAACCTGACTCACGCAAACACAACACTTTCAACCAAAGTCAACCCAGGTCAAACTCCAGTCAAAACTCACCGGCACTCGCCCTGAGTGACCTGCCACGTGGGCTCCATCCCGCCATCCCCTGCCCTCCTCCGCGTGCCCATAGCAAGCCGCACCACCCCATCAAGCTGCAGAGGCAAGTCTAGCACGCGGTGGAAGTGGGTTGACAGCACCCCCACACACCGCGACTGGTCCAGGAACTCCAGGGCAGAGGCCACGAGGCAGGCGCCCTTGTCGGGCTCGGTGCCCTTGCAGAGCTCGTCCAGGAGCACAAGAGAGCGCGGGGAGGCGTCCTGCGTTATGCTGCGCAACTCCATCATCTCCATCTGCAGGGGCGAGGAGGGGTTAAGTGGGAAGAGAACGGAGGAACAGATGGTTGGGAATGGGGGATGGAGAAGCGGGAGTGCAGAGGCGTGACCTTAGGGCTATGCTATGAAGCCTAGGGTCACGCCTATGCACTCATCCCTGAGCGCACCTGGAAGGAGCTCTTGGCATCGGAGGGGCTATCAGCGGGCATCATGCGCAGCACAATGGCGTCAAACCGCGGCACGTGCGCCGACCCCCCCACGCACGGCACCATCAACCCACACGACGCCAGCAGCGCCGCCGCACACACCGACCGCAGCAGCGACGACTTGCCCCCTCCGTTTGGCCCCGTGAGGAGCGCGAGAGAGGAGAGGGAGAGCGTGTTGGGGACTGCAGGGGAGGCTGGCGTGTGGTCTAGCCAGTAGGGGACGAGGCCTTCGAGGAGGAGGGTGTTTGGGGAGATGGGGGCGGGAGGGGAGGTGGAGGAGGGAGGGAGGTTGGTGGTGTATGGAGTTGCGGAGGTGATGCTGGGGGAAAAGGAGTGGTGCTGTGTGTGCTGCTGCTGCTGCTGCTGCTGCTGCTGCTGCTGGTTGCTTGATGGCGTTGATGGTGGTGGTGGAGCAAGAGCGGGGAAGATCCAGCCACGATGAGAGCAGCACCTGGAAATGGGGGGGAGCAGATGGTGGTGAGATCAAGCAAGGCGGGGCGGGTAGGAGAAGGGCAGATGGTGCAAGAAAGATGCAAGCAAGGAGGGGCAGGGAGGGACAAGGAGGGCAAGGAAGGACAAGGAGGGGCAAGGAGGGGCAAGGAGGGGCAAGGAGGGGCAAGGAGGGGCAAGGAGGGGCAAGGAGGGGCAAGGAGGGGCAGGAGGGGCAAGGAGGGGCAAGGAGGGGCAAGGAGGGGCAAGGAGGGGCAAGAGGGCAAGGAGGGGCAAGGAGGGGCAAGGAGGGGCAAGGAGGGGCAAGGAGGGGCAATGGAGGGGCAAGGAGGGGCAAGGAGGGGCAAGGAGGGGCAAGGAGGGGCAAGGAGGGGCAAGGAGGGGCAAGGAGGGGCAAGAGGGCAGGAGGCAAGGAGGGGCAAGGAGGGGCAAGGAGGGGCAAGGAGGGGCAAGGAGGGGCAAGGAGGGGCAAGGAGGGGCAAGGAGGGGCAAGGAGGGCAAGGAGGGGCAAGGAGGGCAAGGAGGGGCAAGGAGGGGCAAGGAGGGGCAAGGAGGGGCAAGGAGGGGCAAGGAGGGGCAAGGAGGGGCAAGGAGGGGCAAGGAGGGGCAAGGAGGGGCAAGGGCAAGGGGGGCAAGGAGGGGCAAGGAGGGGCAAGGAGGGGCAAGGAGGGCAAGGAGGGGCAAGGAGGGGCAAGGAGGGGCAAGGAGGGGCAAGGAGGGGCAAGGAGGGGCAAGGAGGGGCAAGGAGGGGCAAGGAGGGGCAAGGAGGGGCAAGGAGGGGCAAGGAGGGGCAAGGAGGGGCAAGGAGGGGCAAGGAGGGGCAAGGAGGGGCAAGGAGGGGCAAGGAGGGGCAAGGAGGGGCAAGGAGGGGCAAGGAGGGGCAAGGAGGGGCAAGGAGGGGCAAGGAGGGGCAAGGAGGGGCAAGGAGGGGCAAGGAGGGGCAAGGAGGGGCAAGGAGGGGCAAGGAGGGGCAAGGAGGGGCAAGGAGGAGGGGCAAGGAGGGGCAAGGAGGGGCAAGGAGGGGCAAGGAGGGGCAAGGAGGGGCAAGGAGGGGCAAGGAGGGGCAAGGAGGGGCAAGGAGGGGCAAGGAGGGGCAAGGAGGGGCAAGGAGGGGCAAGGAGGGGCAAGGAGGGGCAAGGAGGGGCAAGGAGGGGGCAAGGAGGGGCAAGGAGGGGCAAGGAGGGGCAAGGAGGGGCAAGGAGGGGCAAGGAGGGGCAAGGAGGGGCAAGGAGGGGCAAGGAGGGGCAAGGAGGGGCAAGGAGGGGCAAGGAGGGGCAAGGAGGGGCAAGGAGGGGCAAGGAGGGGCAAGGAGGGGCAAGGAGGGGCAAGGAGGGGCAAGGAGGGGCAAGGAGGGGCAAGGAGGGGCAAGGAGGGGCAAGGAGGGGCAAGGAGGGGCAAGGAGGGGCAAGGAGGGGCAAGGAGGGGCAAGGAGGGGCAAGGAGGGGCAAGGAGGGGCAAGGAGGGGCAAGGAGGGGCAAGGAGGGGCAAGGAGGGGCAAGGAGGGGCAAGGAGGGGCAAGGAGGGGCAAGGAGGGGCAAGGAGGGGCAAGGAGGGGCAAGGAGGGGCAAGGAGGGGCAAGGAGGGGCAAGGAGGGGCAAGGAGGGGCAAGGAGGGGCAAGGAGGGGCAAGGAGGGGCAAGGAGGGGCAAGGAGGGGCAAGGAGGGGCAAGGAGGGGCAAGGAGGGCAAGGAGGGGCAAGGAGGGGCAAGGAGGGGCAAGGAGGGCAGGAGGGCAAGGAGGGGCAAGGAGGGGCAAGGAGGGGCAAGGAGGGGCAAGGAGGGGCAAGGAGGGGCAAGGAGGGGCAAGGAGGGCAAGGAGGGGCAAGGAGGGGCAAGGAGGGGCAAGGAGGGGCAAGGAGGGGCAAGGAGGGGCAAGGAGGGGCAAGGAGGGGCAAGGAGGGCAAGGAGGGGCAAGGAGGGCAAGGAGGGGCAAGGAGGGGCAAGGAGGGGCAAGGAGGGGCAAGGAGGGGCAAGGAGGGGCAAGGAGGGGCAAGGAGGGGCAAGGAGGGGCAAGGAGGGGCAAGGAGGGGCAAGGAGGGGAAAGGAGGGGCAAGGAGGGCAAGGAGGGGCAAGGAGGGCAAGGAGGGCAAGGAGGGCAAGGAGGGGCAAGGAGGGGCAAGGAGGGGCAAGGAGGGCAAGGAGGGGCAAGGAGGGGCAAGGAGGGGCAAGGAGGGGCAAGGAGGGGCAAGGAGGGGCAAGGAGGGGCAAGGAGGGGCAAGGAGGGCAAGGAGGGGCAAGGAGGGGCAAGGAGGGGCAAGGAGGGGCAAGGAGGGGCAAGGAGGGGCAAGGAGGGGCAAGGAGGGGCAAGGAGGGGCAAGGAGGGGCAAGGAGGGGCAAGGAGGGGCAAGGAATGGGCGGAAGGAGGGCAAGGAGGGGCAAGGAGGGGCAAGGAGTAGGGCAAGGAGGGGGCAAGGAGGGGCAAGGAGGGGCAAGGAGGGGCCAAGGAGGGGCAAGGAGGGGCAAGGAGGGGCAAGGAGGGGCAAGGAGGGGCAAGGAGGGGCAAGGAGGGGCAAGGAGGGGCAAGGGAGGGGCAAGGAGGGGCAAGGAGGGGCAAGGAGGGGCAAGGAGGGGCAAGGAGGGGCAAGGAGGGGCAAGGGGGAAGGAGGGGCAAGGAGGGGCAAGGAGGGGCAAGGGGCAAGAGGGCAAGGAGGGGCAAGGAGGGGCAAGGAGGGGCAAGGAGGGGCAAGGAGGGGCAAGGAGGGCAAGGAGGGGCAAGGAGGGGCAAGGAGGGGCAAGGAGGGCAAGGAGGGGCAAGGAGGGGAAAGGAGGGGCAAGGAGGGCAAGGAGGGGCAAGGAGGGGCAAGGAGTGGGCAAGGAGGGTGCAAGGAGGGGCAAGGAGGGGCAAGGAGGGGCAAGGCGTGCAAGGAGGGGCAAGGAGGGGCAAGGAGGGGCAAGGAGGGGCAAGGAGGGGCAAGGAGGGGCAAGGAGGGGCAAGGAGGGGCAAGGAGGGGCAAGGAGGGGCAAGGAGGGGCAAGGAGGGGCAAGGAGGGGCAAGGAGGGGCAAGGAGGGGCAAGGAGGGGCAAGGAGGGGCAAGGAGGGGCAAGGAGGGGCAAGGAGGGGCAAGGAGGGGCAAGGAGGGGCAAGGAGGGGCAAGGAGGGGCAAGGAGGGGCAAGGAGGGGCAAGGAGGGGCAAGGAGGGGCAAGGAGGGGCAAGGAGGGGCAAGGAGGGGCAAGGAGGGGCAAGGAGGGGCAAGGAGGGGCAAGGAGGGGCAAGGAGGGGCAAGGAGGGGCAAGGAGGGGCAAGGAGGGGCAAGGAGGGGCAAGGAGGGGCAAGGAGGGGCAAGGAGGGGCAAGGAGGGGCAAGGAGGGGCAAGGAGGGGCAAGGAGGGGCAAGGAGGGGCAAGGAGGGGCAAGGAGGGGCAAGGAGGGGCAAGGAGGGGCAAGGAGGGGCAAGGAGGGGCAAGGAGGGCAAGGAGGGGCAAGGAGGGGCAAGGAGGGGCAAGGAGGGGCAAGGAGGGGCAAGGAGGGGCAAGGAGGGGCAAGGAGGGGCAAGGAGGGGCAAGGAGGGGCAAGGAGGGGCAAGGAGGGCAAGGAGGGCAAGGAGGGGCAAGGAGGGGCAAGGAGGGGCAAGGAGGGGCAAGGAGGGGCAAGGAGGGGCAAGGAGGGGCAAGGAGGGGCAAGGAGGGGCAAGGAGGGGCAAGGAGGGGCAAGGAGGGGCAAGGAGGGCAAGGAGGGGCAAGGAGGGGCAAGGAGGGGCAAGGAGGGGCAAGGAGGGCAAGGAGGGCAAGGAGGGGGCAAGGAGGGGCAAGGAGGGGCAAGGAGGGGCAAGGAGGGGCAAGGAGGGGCAAGGAGGGGCAAGGAGGGGGCAAGGAGGGGCAAGGAGGGGCAAGGAGGGGCAAGGAGGGGCAAGGAGGGGCAAGGAGGGGCAAGGAGGGGCAAGACAATTGCTCCTTTTGAGCCAGCTCAAGAATCAATTCTTTTAGCGGAGCAGTCTCACATTACAAGCACGCCCCACGTACCTGACGTGTGCGTCAAGGGTGCGCGCGCGCGCGACGATGCCAAAGTTAGCCAAAGCCACAATGGTGCTGAGGTACGGCTGTAGAGAAGTGACTTTTGAGTCGACTCAAACCCCACGTACCTGACGTGTGCATCAAGGGTGCGCGCGACGATGCCAAAGTTAGCAACCGCCACGATGGTGCTGAGGTACGGCTGCAGCTCCTGGGAGAGCAGCTGTAGCGCTGCCACCACCGCATAGTGCGCTGCTGCCACCGCGTCCTTGTACCTGGGGAGAGGAGGAGAGGGAAGAGCGGGGGAGGGTGGGGGAGGAGAAAGGGGAGGATTAGTAGACACAATGGTGCTAAGATACGGCTGCAGCGCATGGGATAGCTCCTGTAGCGCTGCTCTAGTTTGCTGCTGCTGCTGCTGCAGGGTCCTTGTAGCGTGAATGAGGAAGCAAGCTCAGGGAACGGCCGAGAGGATGGGTGAGAGGAAGGCTGAGAGGATGGGTGAGAGGAAGGCTGAGAGGAAGGCTGAGACGAAAGATCAGGCAGTTAGAGCAGGGGCAAGGAGGTTGAGAGTGAGTGAGATCTGGGAGAGGGAGGGGAAAGGATAAGGCACCATGCAACCACGAACAAAAAGGGCAGGGAAGGAGGAAAGGCAGGGAACGAGGAAAGGCGGGGAAGGAGAGAGAGCAGGGAAGAGGAGGCTGAGCGCGTGAGACCAGTTGAGTGAGCGGGAAAATGGAAAGAGAGGACGAGAAGGAGCGGGAAGAACGGAAGAGAGAGAGAGCGCACCCCCACTTGCCCCTTATCTGGACCCACAACCCTCCTTGCCCCTTCTTGCCATGCACACCCATCCAATCTCCTTGCCCCACCAACCGCATCCCTTTTGCTGTACTTCCCCATCACAATCTCCTTGCCCATTTCTCCTTCCTCCCCAACCTTTGACTCCCATCCCAGCCCATACTTGCCAAGTGCTCTGCCAGCAGCTGTTCAGGGTTCAAGGTTTCAGGTCTAGTCAACTTAAAAACAACGCCCCAATCCCAATCCCAATCCCAATCCCGAACCCCATCCAAGGCAGCACAAAGAGAGCAATCGTTTCCTCGGTAAGAGAGCAATCGTTTCCTCGGTAAGAGAGCAATCGTTTCCTCGGTAAGAGAGCAATCGTTTCCTCGGTAAGAGAGCAACCACTTCCTCGGTAAGTGGGCGCCATTAACAGCCGTTTGAGTCATCGACAGAAAATATCAAATTCACCCCACGCCCTGCCCCTCCGCCCTCCAGGGTGGTACAAAGAAGGTAACCTCAATCAGCGAGAGCTTCATCAACAGCAGCAGCAGTGGAGCACCAGCCGCCCTGCGTTGACATGACAGCAAAGCAACTCCTCCAGCTCCAAACCCCAAACCCCAAACCCCATTCAGAATAGCAATCACCCCATCTGGTAAGTGCTTTACCAACGGGGCAGGCATGGAACGGAACACCACCCGTCTTCCAGGGCAGTAGCAACAAGGAGATGAGATCTTACTCGGAAAGCGCTTCATCGACGTCATGAGTGGAGTACCAGCCGTCGCCCACCTTCTTGCCCTTGCTATCCACTGACGCCGGCACCAGCTTCTGCACCAGCGCGTGCAGGGGGTCGCTGGGGTCTTGCGCGCTCACCTGCACATGGGGAAGGGGATGGGAGGACGAGGGGGCGGATTGGGGGATGGGAGGAGGGGGATGGGAGGAGGGGGATGGGAGGAGGGGGATGGGAGGAGGGGGATGGCTCGATTCCCTTTGAACAGCAACCAGTGGTCCCGTAGCAACCTCTGAAGCGTCTCAAAAGTCACAAGCACGCACCGGCGTTCACCCGAATCCTTCGAAAGCGCACCCTCTCAATACCCTCTCGAGGGCCGAATACAATACACGCACGCACCAGTGCCTTGGCGCGGGTCCCTTTGAGCAGCACCCCGTAGTCTCGGTACGCTGCTATCTCCAGTTTTGAGACGTCTCAACACTCAACACCCTCTGTACCACCCTCTCATCACCCTCTCAATACCCTCTCAAGGGCCGGATGCATGCACGCACCAATGCCTTGGCGCGGGTCCCTTTGAGCAGCACCCCGTAGTCTCGGTACGCTGCTATCTCCACTTTTTTGGCTGCTGTGCTGGAGGTGCGTGGGGAGAGGCTGCGACTGCGGTTGACAAAGGGCATCAGATCCTGCTTCACCTGACGTGGTGCATGCATGGGGCGAGGCAGGGAAGGACAGGGAAAAAAAGGAAAAGAGGAGGGGGCGCAGAGAGGAAAAGGGTTTTGCTTTTAAGACGCCCAAAAGAAACAAAAAAAAAGGGGAACAGTAGAATATACTACTTTGCACACAGAGGGTTGCAAAAGGGAAGGAAGAGGATGAGAGAAAGGAGGAAGGATAAGCGAGAGAGGGGGAAAACAACAAGAGGAGGAAATTCAGGAGAGAGAGGAAGAAGAGGAAAAAGGAAGTGAAGTAAAGCACGGCACCCACAGCTTACCACTTCATTGTACCGCTCTGCAGCCCTGGCCACCCTCTCGCACTCCGTCTGTATGTGCTCGTACCGCACTCGACCCCTCCATTGGGCCTCCATCACCTCAAAAAAATCCTCCATCGCTGCAAACTCACTCCCACTAATCGCCAACCCCCTGTCTCCTCCGTCCCCCCACTCCTCCTCTGCTTTCCATCCCTCTGCACCGCCCTTCGCCCCCCGTACTCCAAACTGCTGCTGCTGCTGCAGCCGCACTGGTTGCATCTCATCCCCATTCAGCCCCTCCTCCTCCTCCTCCTGCTCCTCTTCATCCTCCGCTCCCTCCACTCGGCCAGCAGCAGGTGCAGGTGCCCCCATGAGGCGGGCAGTGTCATCCAGCAACACGTTGCTCACCATCGCACATATCGCCTCACACTCCTGTGCCTGCGGTCGCAACAAAGAGATGGAGGCAGGGAGGGAGGGAGGGAGGGAGGGAGGGAGGGAGGGAGGGAGGGAGGAAGGGAGGGAGGGGAGGGAGGGAGGGAGGGGAGGGAGGGAGGGAGGGAGGAGGGAGGGAGGGAGGGAGGAGGGAGGAAGGGAGGGAGGAGGGGAGGGAGGGAGGGAGGGAGGGAGGGAGGGAGGGAGGGAGGGAGGGAGGGAGGGAGGGAGGGAGGGAGGGAGGGAGGGAGGGAGGTAGGGAGGGAGGGAGGGAGGGAGGGAGGGAGGGAGGGAGGGAGGGAGGGAGGTAGGGAGGGAGGGAGGGAGGGAGGGAGGGAGGGAGGGAGGGAGGGAGGGAGGGAGGGAGGGAGGAGGGAGGGAGGAGGGAGGAGGGAGGGAGGGAGGGAGGGAGGGAGGAGGGAGGGACGGAGGGAGGGAGGGAGGGAGGGAGGGAGGGAGGGAGGGAGGGAGGGAGGGAGGGAGGGAGGGAGGGAGGGAGGGAGGGAGGGAGGGAGGGAGGAGGGAGGGAGGGAGGGAGGGAGGGAGGGAGGGAGGGAGGGAGGAAGGGAGGGAGGGAGGGAGGAGGGAGGGACGGAGGGAGGGAGGGAGGGAGGGAGGGAGGGAGGGAGGGAGGGAGGGAGGGAGGGAGGGAGGGAGGGAGGGAGGGAGGGAGGGGGAGGGAGGGAGGGAGGGAGGGAGGGAGGGAGGAGGGAGGGAGGGAGGGAGGGAGGGAGGGAGGGAGGAGGGAGGAAGGGAGGGAGGAAGGGAGGGAGGAAGGGAGGGAGGAAGGGAGGGAGGAAGGGAGGGAGGAAGGGAGGGAGGAAGGGAGGGAGGAAGGGAGGGAGGAAGGGAGGGAGGAAGGGAGGGAGGAAGGGAGGGAGAAGGGAGGGAGGAAGGGAGGGAGGGAGGGAGGGAGGAAGGGAGGGAGGAAGGGAGGGAGGAAGGGAGGGAGGAAGGGAGGGAGGAAGGAGGGAGGAAGGGAGGGAGGAAGGGAGGGAGGAAGGGAGGAGGAAGGGAGGGAGGGAGGGAGGGAGGGAGGAAGGGAGGGAGGAAGGGAGGGAGGGAGGGAGGGAGGGAGGGAGGGAGGGAGGGAGGGAGGAAGGGAGGGAGGGAGGGAGGGAGGGAGGGAGGGAGGGACAGGGAGGGAGGGACAGGGAGGTGGGGGACTGGTAAGGCGAGTGAGCAGCCTGATATGGCGGGTGAACCAACTCCAGAATTCGTTTGGATCGCTCCTCCTACCGTGCCTCACCTGTTAAATGCTCCTCTTGAATCCCCCCCCCTCTCTTCCTTGGACTGATGATTTCGTAAGCAACTAGAAGAGGTGTACACTCTTGCGCATGTGTGACAGACAGTGTGTTGTGTGCTCGACTCACCAGAGTGTGCACATGGAGAGGCAAGGCACATGCTAGCTGCGTGGGCACCAGCAGATCCACAGCCAGCTGCCGCATCCCCCCTTCCCTCACCACACTGCCGCTCAAACCACTGCCACTGCCGGTGCTGTCACTACTGTAGCCGCTACTGCTGCCGTCACCGCCCCTGCTCCTGCTGCTGCTGCTGCTGCTGCTGCTAGTAGGACCCGAGTCCTGCAGCATATCCAGGAAGGTTTTGGCTAGTGCGCGCACTCGGAGCAGCTCAGTGGACGTGGCTTCTTTGGCTGAGATCAGCTTCACCAGGCGCGAGGGCGGCACACACAGGAACTCGGGCAGCACGGGCAGATGAAACATTCGGCGGCACGCATCTGTGCGGGTCAAGCATCGGGGGGGGGGGGGGGGGGGAAGCGGGGGGTAAGAACGTGGGTGGAAGGAGCGATGGTGAGGTGAAAGGGGGATAGAGGAGAGGAAGAGCGGGCGATAGGGGGATAGGCAGGATCGGGAGCGGGGACCAATCGAGAGGGGTGTTGGAGAACTTTTGAGTCGACTCAAAAGTCACCTCAGGATCGGGAGCGGGGACCACTCGAGAGCGGTGTTGGAGAAAGGCGGTGCAGGAGAAAGTTGGGAAACCTGGGTTAAGGAAGTGTGGATATGGGGGTGGTGGAAAGAATGAAGTGAGGAGTGAGGGTGAGGTTGAGGTGAAGGGGGTGAGGAGAGGAGGAGTAAGGTGAGGGATGAGGAGAGAAGCAAAGAAAAAGGGATCTCATCTGAAGACCTCAAAACGCGCACCAAGGATGCCGGTGGCAACTTTTGAGACGTCTCAACTCAAAAGTCGCCTATAAGTACCTCAACACGCGGATTTTGGTGTTGAAGGGGGTCTGATCTGAAGTCGTCAAGGCATGCGCGCACCTTGGATGCCGGTGGCGACTTTTGAGACGTCTCAACTCAAAAGTCGTCTATACTTACACGCAAAACTTCATGTCAAAGGGGATCTGGAGTCGTCAAGTCAAGGCATGCGCGCAGAGGTGACTTTTGAGTCGACTCAAAAGGCATGCGCGCACCTTGGATGCTGGTGGCGACGTGAGGAGGCGGCGGGCTGAGAAGCAGCGAGCGCAGGTATGCAAGGCACACAGGGAGGCCCGCTGCATTATCCGGGAGCAGACGGTGCGGCAGACTCGGAACTCCCCGCGTTGGTAAAATGCCTGCGCTTGGCACAGGGATAGGGAGGGAAAGGGGGAACCGGGGGGTGGGGAGGGGCGAGGAGGAAGGGCAGGAACGAGGTGATGCATTGTCCGGGAGCAGACGGTGGGGCAGACTCGGCACGGCACTCCCCGTGTTGACTTTTGAGTCGACTCAAAAGTCGACTCGGCACGGCACTCCCCGCGTTGGTGAAATGCCTGCCGTTTGCACAGACGGATGAAGGATGGGGACAGTGGGGCGGGGAGTGGCAGGAGGGGGGAGACGAGGTGACTCTTCTAGAAGCAGCTCAAAAGTCAGAGAGAGGCTGCAGTATTGTGCAGACGTGGCATCATGCCCACATGGCATCATGCCCACATGGCATCATGCCCACGTGGCATCGTGTGCACAAATGGACGGTGCAGACGTGGCACACACCTATTTGGGAGGCGGTGGAGACGTAGAGCGGCCGAGGCCGGGAGTCGGGGGGTGGCAGCTGCAGCTGCTGGAAGGAGACTGCACCCAGGTCGTACAGGTCTCGCACCTGATGTTTGCACGGTCAAATGAGGTGAAACGAGGTGAAATGAGGTGAAACGAGGTGAAATGAGGTGAAACGAGGTGAAATGAGGTGAAACGAGGTGAAATGAGGTGAAACGAGGTCACATGAGGTGCAGTGTGGTGTATTGCATGGAGACAGTGGGGTATACGGGCAGGACGGGTTGGCCCGAGGACAAGACAATAGAGTTGCATTGCAAACGTGAGTTCCTATACAGTAGGGAGGCTTAAAAACAAAAGAAACAAAAGAAGCAAGAAAGAAGACGAGCCGCTCTTGTTTGATGAATCCTTTTGTACATGTCGAAGCCTTTACCCCACACCATTTCCCAGTTCCCCCTTACCCTCGCCTCCTCGCACGCTCAAAAAGGTTACCTTATTGAGCAGGCTATTGACATGGTCGCCCTCGTACTTGTCATAGCCCTTGGCCACACACTCTGAGAACAGCATTCCCCCCGCCCCATGGTCCTTTCTAAGTCGCCGCCCCGCGCACACACTCATGCAGTCACCTTATTGAGCAGGCTCTGCACATGGTCACCCTCGTACTTGTCATAACGCTTGGCGTTTACTGATAAGATTCCACATGCCCCCTCCCTGCCCCCACATGCTATCCCTCTCTTAGAGCGTCACCTTATTGAGCAGGCTATTGACGTGGTCGCCCTCGTACTTGTCATAGCCCTTGGCCACACACTCTGAGAACAGCATTCCCCCCGCCCCATGCTCCCGCCACCCCCCTGCATCTGCTCTCCGTACAAGCCGCAAGAGAGAGGGAGAAGGACCGTTAAGGAGAGAGAAGGCGTTGGTGTGGGGGGAAGGATGGCGTGGGGGGAAGGATGGCGTGGGGGGAAGGATGGCGTGGGGGGAAGGATGGTGTGAAGAAGGGGTTGGTGGGAGAAGGGAGACGAGAGCTCTTGGTGGTTGAAGTGGGGGGGTGTTACTTAAAAATTACAAGAACCATGCATGGATTTGTTCAGCAACCAAGTGATGAAAATCAAGACAGGGAGCGGAGCAAAGAGGGAGGGGGGGTGGGTGGAAGGGAAACCAGAGGTGAAGGAGAAGGGGGAGGGAAGCTAAGTAGTGTAGTGCCCAGAAACAATGGGGTTAGAAGACCAACTGAGAAATGACGAGGGGAAGTGGCCAGAAGCAAGCACCAAACTGGTTTCTGCAAAAACAACAAGCTGCACTGCACGTGCACCAACCCCCCACCACCCCAAGGCACCCACTTCCGTACTCACCCCCTCTCCCGCGCACCCATCGAATCAAACCCCCACCCCACCCCCTTCCTTTGACGCACCAGTAACGGAGGAGTGCACGAAGCAGCGGTGGCAGCCACTGGCCCTGAGCTTGGCCACAGCAGCCTCCTCGGTGAGAAGTGGTTCGACACAGAAGGTCTGCGTCATCTCCCACGCGCTCACCACCGTGTACCCACTCGCACTCGTGCACGCTATGCCATGCCCCCAACCCCCAAACGCACTCCTGCACGTGCCGTGCCCCTCCCCCCTCCATCGCACCCACTCCCTCACGCACCCACTCCACCCCCCCCCGCACCTCCCCCACCCCAAAATACCCACCGGTAACAGAGGTATGCACGAAGCAGCGGTGACACCCGCTCGCTCTCAGCTTGGCCACAGCAGCCTCCTCAGTGAGAAGCGGTTCGACAGAGAAGGTCTGGGTCATCTCCCACGCGCTCACCACCGTGTACCCACTCGCACTCGTACGCGCTATGCCCAAGATTGGAATTGGCTCGGGGAATTCGATCTCCATGTTGCTGCGCGCCAAGCCGTACACGTACGGGCTGCCGGGGTGCGCGTGGCTGGGAGAGGGGGAGAGCATGTGTGTGCGTGTGGGGGGTGGGATGGGGTGGAGACAGAGAGAGCATACGCATGCTGGGCGTTTCCAAAATAGGCAGGCAGGCAGGCAGGCAGGCATCTCTCAACAAGTCCCTCAAGCTCTAAGCAATACATGCTTGGGCTGCCGGGGTGCGCGTGCCTGGAAGTGAACGGTGCGAAGGAATACGTTGGGAGTCAGAACTACTCTCCGTGCATAGGAGAGAGAGAGCATTGGGAGAAAGAGCTGCGAGAGAGAGAGAGACCATTGGGAGAAACAGCTGGGAGAGAGAGTGTGTGCGTGTGTGGCTCTGGGTGGGGTGGTGGCGAATGTGAGAGGAAGGAGGAGAGGAGCACGTAGCAGCAGCACAGCAGAGCGGGTCATGAGACTTCTCTGATCTATTTCTGGGGCGTCTCAAATGTCGACATATCTAAGGAAACCGCGCAACGAGTCCCAACGCGTATGGACTACTGAAAGAAGACATGTATGGAAGCGAGCATGTGTGGGCGTGAGAGGGGAGGGGAGGGGAGGGGAGGGGAGGGGAGGGGAGGGGAGGGAGAGTGCAGCAACAGAGAACGAGAAGGACTTTTGGTTCTCTCACCCTCCTCTCCTGTTCACCCACCTGCCCGCCCACGCGCCCACCCACCCAACCACCCTCCCGCCCACCTGCCCGCCCACCTTCCCACCACCCTCCCTCCTTCCCTCCCACCCACGCACCCTCCCAAGAAGCGTGGCTTTCCCTTCTTGCTAGCAGCGCCGGTACGGCCCCCCACAGGCGAGGTGTCCTGAGCCTCCTCCACTATGGCCACCGACAGCCCGTGGCCCGTTAGGGCGTCCAGTGTCTGCACGCACCGAGAGGAGGGAGGATGATGCGGTGGTGGAAAGGTTTTTGAAGCAGTGAAAGAGGTTACAAGAGACGGGTCCGAACCGCCCCCCCACAGGCGAGGTGTCCTGAGCCTCCTCCACTATGGCCACCGACAGCCCGTGGCCCGTTAGTGCGTCCAGTGTCTGCACGTACAGGAGGGAGGATCATGGGGTGGTGGAAAGGTTTGTAAAGCGGTGAAAGGGGTTTCTTGAGACATGTCCAAACCTGCCACCTCCCCGCAGGCGAGGTGTCCTCCTCCCGAGTGTCCTCCTCTATGGCCACAGACAGCCCATGGCTCGTTAGCGCTTCTAGCTTCTGCATGCAAACGGGGGGATGATGGGCAGCGAAAAGGATTTAGAAGCGGTGAACAGTTATTCTATACGATCTGAGGGTACTTCAAGAGGGTGTCCAATCCAAACCCCCACTCACAGGCGAGGTGTCTTAAGTCTATTCCCCTATGGCCAACTTTTGAGACACTGGAAGTCGCCACGGACAGACGGTCAGCCCATGGCTCGTTAGCGCTTCCAGTGTCTGCACACACACACCCAGAGTCGAGGCTCAAAGCCTATCCCATTCACCCCAACCCCACCCAACCGCACTCCACCCCTCCAGAGAACCTACCTGCAGCAGGTTGATGGTGGGGTAGCTGGCTCTGGGTGCGGAGTTGGGGCGGCGCCGCCCATGGGGTTGAGCCGTGCATGCTCCACCAACAGCCACACGTCAAAGCCCACCGTACCCCCACAGCAACCCAGCCCCAGCCGCATCCCAACTGCATCCCAACTGCATCCCAACTGCATCCCAACTGCTTCCCCTTCCCCCATCCCCCCCTCCCGCACCCCCTCCTCCCTTTCCCCGGTGCCTGCCACAGGTTGGTTTGGTTCGGTGCAGCCAGCACAGACAGAGCACAAAGATTAAAGCCACCACCCCGACCGCACCCAACCGCACCCCACCCCTTCAGTGGACCTACCTGCATTAGGTTGATGGTGGGGCAGCCGGCTTTGGGCACGGTGTTGGGGCGGGCGCCACCCATGGGGTTGAGCCCTGCATGCTCCACCAGCAGACACGCGTCAAAGCCCACCGTCTCGTAGAACTCGCCCACCTGCCATGCCATGCCATGCCATGGCACGCATGCGGACATGCGGACATGATGGACGAGAAGGAGGGGAGACAGGAGAGGGACGAGCGAGGGGAAGGAGAGAGAGAGAGAGAGAAGGGGGGGAGACGAAAGGGAAGAGGGAATGGGAGTGAAATGTGGTAATTGGGTGGGGAACTGGGCACTCGGGGGTGTTGCAGAGAAAGAGGGGGCGAGGGGGGGCAGGGGTTTGCAGAGGGAGAGAAGAGGGAGAGAAGAGGGAGAGAAGAGGGAGAACAGGGAGTTAACTGTGGGGATTTAGCAGAAAGTTACAGGTAAGAATGGGACTGGACTTCTATGAAAGATGGGATAGCATTCGCCAAGCACGGACACACCGGTTTGTGAAGAAAGCATCTCTTTCCTTATAGCTATGATTCGTGCTTCGAATGAAAAAAGGATAAGCATAAGCAGTGAAAGAAGGATTGGTTTGCGTGTGCATTCTACAGCGACCACCGCTCTGCACCGCACTGCACTGTACCCTACAGAGCACGACTTCATGCGGGAACTGGCGCTTGATTTCGAGAATTTTATCGTTCACACTGTTGGTCAACCTGTTTGCACACATGCAGACACACACACACACACATGCACGCACGCATGCACGCACGCATGCACGCGCGCGCGCAGACACACACACACACACACACACACACACAAACGCACACAGACACACCCAAAAACACACACGCACACGCACACGCACACGCACACACACACACACACATGCAGCAAAGCCAAGAGAAATGCGGATGAAATGGAAGGCACACCACAAAGAAAGAAAGAAAGAAAGAAAGAAAGAAAGAAAGAAAAACAAACAAACAAAACAGGAGAAAAGACACCAGAAAGAACAGGTAAACGAGACCAGTAAGTCCTTGAAGCTTCTTGAAAAGAGAGACGCATGAGAGAAGAGCAGGCATGACAAGCAGCAAAGCAGGTACACCCTGCCTTCTGGCCAGCTGGCGACCCTTTGAGTGAGCAGTCTCGAACCATCAGCACAGCACAGCACAGGCAAACGGAGGCACCGATGTGGTACTATACTCGTGCTTGTATTCAAATGCTGCCAGCAGCAGCAGCACGCATGAGATAACAGATGTTGCAAGAACAGCGATGGATATGGTGCAACAGCAACCCCCCTCCCCACAACCCCTCCAATACACACGTACAAACACACACTCCCGCTCACCTCAACATCACACACTCGTGCACTCGCATACACACAAACACACACACACACACACACACACATGCAAACACACACACACACACACACACACACACAAACACACACACGCGCGCGCGCGCGTGCGCGCACACCCTCACGCCCTCTCTCACAAACACACATACACACAAGCGGACGCACTTTCCATTCTTGAACACGGGGTTGACCCCCAGAATATTGGAGTAATCCAGATTCTTCACGAGCTCGCGCGCGCTCTGCTTCTTGCACTGTTCCATGTGCCCGCGATACCACTCTATCACCTCCCGCTCCTTCGCCGCGCTCAGCTTGCGCGCCTTGCTGCCCTGGGACTGAGACGACGCGGACGCTTTTTTAGACGTCGACGTCTCATGAATCGTGCCCTTGGCTGCGCTCGGCTTTCGACCCCTGCTGCCGTGAGACTGGGACGCGGACGGCTTTTGAGACGCCTCAAAAACAGTCTCCTTGCCCGCCCTCGGCTTGCGCCCCCTTTTGTGCGGCTGGAATCCGGACGGGGCGGAGTGGGTAGAAGCGGCAGAGGGGGAGGCGGAGGAGGAGGAGGTGCCGAGGAATGCATGTGCTTTTGCTTTGTGGCGTTTGCGCTGGCGCGAGGGGGCGAGTGGGATCCCGTGGGGTTTGAAGGGTGGATGAAAGAACGGAGAGGAAGACGATGCAGGGGGGAAGGCGCGAGTTGTGAGTGAGGCAGAGGCTGATGGCACTCGGGAAGATGGAGCACGGAGGGGGGAGGCGGAAGAGACAAAGGGGGAGGGCGGGGAGGAGAAGGGGACGGAAGAGACGGAGGAGGAGGTGGAGGAGAGGGGGAAGGGGAGAGGTGAGGTGGAGGGAGGCAAGTAGGCGGAAGCGCGCGTTGATCGTGGCGTCGACTTGCAGAGTGCGGGCGGATGGAAGGGACTGGAAGGGACAGGCGCGCGACAAGTGGGAGGGCCCATGGGGGGGAGGGGGGGACGGGTGGCGGAAGGGGGAGTGGTGGTTATGAGAAGGTGATTACGCGAGGGAAGAGATCGGAATTGGGAAAAACGGAGGAAAGGGAGTAACATTCTAGAAGCAAAAAAAAAAGGGAGGGAGGGGAGGAGGAAAAGGGTGGTGGAGGAGGAAAATCACAGACGCAACCTCGAATTCCTTTCTTACGAACATCTCAATATTAAAAGCATCTCTTCTCTTCGCCTACAAAAGATCCCTATCTTGATTTCCCTTCAACAGGCAGCAGCATATCTCCCGGCACGCATCTCCCGGCACTCCTCACCTGGGAAAAGCAGCAACGCTCTCACTCCACCCAATCCCCCGACGCCACGTGTCCCCTCGCGTCCACCTCCCCCGCGTCAGAAGTAGCGCGTGGAGCGGCGCGGATCGAGGCGCGGCGACCAGTGCAGCGCGCATGGCGGCGGGACTTGCAAGGAAGCTTCGGGAGGGTTGCTGGGGAGAGATACAGGGACGGAGCGGGAAGGAGAGGAGAGGGCGCAGAAGCGGCGACAAGCGGCGCGGGTGGGGGTAGGGCATAAAGGAGACCTGCCTTTGAGTCGACTCTGAAACGAGAGGGGGGGCAGCAGCAGCAGCAGCAGAAGTAGCTTCGTGATACGGCCACAGCCTGGCAGCGACCTCCTTTGCGATCAGACAATCAGACGATCATACGATCGTAAGAAGGACTTGCGGTGATCACAAGGTGAGGAGGCGACAGGCGGGGACGCAGCGGAGAGCGGAGCGATGGGAAAGACTAGAAAGCGGACGACGGCGAATGGCGGAGTTTCTAAGCGCTAAATAACGTGTGCAACAGGTGGTCACGGAGGGAAAACGAGCAGCAGGGGAGAGGCTGCACGGCGAAAGAGCGCGAGAGTCTCCCGCTGAGGATCGTTGCGACGAGGTCGCTACGCGCTACGGGAGAGTAAATGAGACGCGCGTAATGCAGGCATTTAATTCCTAAATTCATATGTGATCCTAACCTTATGCGCGCTGTCGGCCTGTCTGTCTGTTTGGGTGGCGCGCTGGCGGTTCTCCCACCTGGTTCCAGCAAATACAGTTTGCGCGCGCGCACTTGCGCTTGTGGGTTTGCGGGGAGGGGAGAGCGGAAGTCCGAAAGGCCGCGGCATGTTGCTGTGCGAGACGCGATTGGATGGCTTAGCGCCTGAACTGGATATTGGTGTCTGGTATTTGGCGCGAACGAGATGGCGTGGCATGGCATGATGGGCCATGCTGCAAGAGGATAAATGCTCACTGCAGAAAAATTCGATACTCAAACGCTAGGCCTTCATGTAGCTCTTACGAAACTTCATAGCCATTTATGACAAATATAATTGCACCGTATCATAACACTACAGTTACAAGTAACAGACTAACCTTGACAGCCTGATGCGCAAGCACGCCGGTATATCCAAAATTTGGAGTTTAGCATAGTCCTTAACCAAACAGAGAATCCTCAAGGGAATACAGGCCGGTAGCTGGTCCAATGAATCGGAAGAGGATCCACGCACCAGCCAGAACAAAAATGGCCTTGTACGCAAAATCGTTGAGCTTGGCAAGGCCACCTTCCTTGGCCAGCCATGCTTCTACCAGCTTCTCAAAACTCGACTTCTCACCCGACATCCTAAAGACAGGCTCTGCAGCCTTCGGGGGAGGTGTCGGCTCAGGCTCTGGTGTGACACTGGAGGAGGGGACAAGGGAGTGCAGCCACGCGGGGCCGGGTAATGGCGGAGATGAAGCAACGCGTGTGGCAGAACGAGGCGTATGCAAAAATGCTGTTGTTGTTCTGGCTATGCAACTTCTAGGCCGAAAGGAAGAACACATCAAGAAACTACCCTCCTCATCCTTGTTCCCGTCCTTATTCTTACCTCCAAATAGTGCTTTTGCCCTTCCCCAGCCTCTCCTCCAGTGCCGCTAGCCTCTCCGCGGAGCTCAGCTTGGACCCCTCATCCTCCTCAGAGCCGCTTTTCCCTCCCTGCGACCATCATCGTGCAACATTCATACAGCGTGTATTATTGGGTCACAAATGTAAAACCAGGATGTGAACCTCCCAGCACCACGTGCTCCTGCAGCAGCTGCAGCTGCTGCGCGATGCTCTCGCAGCTTGCTCAACTGATTATACATTTTTTGCCGCTGTATTTGCCTGTAGCATCTTGCGCGAGTGGCCAGCATCTAGCTACAACGACTAAAGGTCTAGCTACCAAATTCGACTAATCTTTGCCGATCGGAGCCTCCCTTAGGTAGCTAATAACATTTTCTAAAGAAAAAACTGTGACGCTGCACTTAGCATAAAACGATACATTCACAAAAACGGTCCAGTGCACAAACTACTTCGAGCCTCACCTTAGCTGCCCGTACTACAAGACGTTGATGCCGCAGCTCTCTACTTCTCAGTGTGAGCCGTGCTGTGGTTGACTCGCTCCTGCACACACTTGCGCCCGACTGGAAATGTCGCGACGCGCTAAACAGAACAGGCAGGGTTGCTGCTGCCATTGCTGTAACAGCGGCCATGGTGCGTCTGGAGGGGAAGAGGAGTAACACAAGAATTAGGGGTAGAAAGGTATGGTGGGGGTGGGGATTGTTGAGGCAAAAGAATGGAGGGAATGAGGATTGTGTTTTGGTTGCTACCAACGGGGAGGGAACAGCGAACAATAGCGACAATGGCGAAGCGAGATTCGACTGTACTCTGGCGTTGACGAGGACATTCGCAAAGGTCGCCATTCCCGGTGCTTGCGTGGCTGTCTCTTATTGCCCCCTCTCCGAGAATGTTGGAGCAAAATCGCAACGAGGGATTCCAGAAGCTCAGATAAAAGGACACTGTACACACTGTTGCACTTCCAAGAGAACTACTTGTACGTACCAAATCAGCACAACATTGGCCGTCACAATTGATTTCCGACTCAAATCATTAGAGATTTCAAGTTTCCAACAAACAAAAATATGGTATCCATGTCAGATGATCAGGCATGTGGACCAGGCCAATCCGGAGTCTCGGAGGCGTCATTGTGAACAAAGTAGCTTGCAGAGACAATAAGATACGAGAGCACCAGCATGATGCCCTTGAAATAATTAGCTTCTCCTTCCTGCAATCAACAGAACGCAAGTGGGGTGGGGTTACACGGTGAAGCAAAGGCACACGCAACACAACAGGTACTATACGGTTTTTTTAACCCAGGACATTGTGCAACGCAATGGGATTAGTGAGAACATAAGCACAACAACAATTATGCCACCCCTTTTTCCCTCACAAACTGTGCGGACTTACAGCAAGCAAGGCCGCCACGACAAGCACGGTGACAAAGAGAGTGGCCGTTTCGAATATGTGGAAGTTGAGATCCATTGGCACTCCCATGGCCCATCCTAGCACCACACATAGCGGAATCTGGGAGGCCAGGGACAGGAGCATTGGGTGAGGAGTTGGTGTTTGAATTCTAAACATCAGCAAGTACACAAACAAGAAAATAAAAAAGGCGAGAGGAAATGCGGTGGACTAAAGAGGCAGGGAGTGATGGAGCAAGCAGGAAAGGTGTGGGTTTTGGAGAGTCAGGTAGAGGGAGGGACTGAGAGAATGGGGGGATCTGAGAACAACAGAGGAAAAGGCATGAAGGGATGGATGGGGTGCCTGTACCTACCTAGCACCGAATCAATACAAATGACCATCTCAAGCAAGGAAAGGAACTAACCGCAAACATGGAGATTTGTGTAGAGGACCCAATGGCAACACCAAGAGCAATGTCCTGATGGTTGGAAGGAATGAAACAGATGAAGGGGAAAGGGTGAGAATAAAAACATCAGATAAAGGCGAAAGGAGAAAAAACAAGAAACGTCAGATGAAGGGGAAAGGAGGAAAATAACATAGAATCAAAGCGGGACACAATGGTGATTGAATGTTATGAGATAAGGATGGGATAAAAAGGGACAGGAAGGACAAGATGGCATGAGATGGTATGGATGGATTGAAATGAATGAGGCCGAAGGGGCATGATGGAATCTCCTATGAGGCATGAAATGGCAATAAACACTACCGGTTCTGTGTGCTGGTGGGATGGGAGTAGGTAGGAGGAAGGGTGTGAGGCAACAGCAAAAACGTGGAAAAGAAGTGGAAAGGGAGCGAGCACGTGCCACTATGCTCAAGGAAAGCGGAAAACACAAGTGCTCTCTAGGCCACGCTAAAGGACGGAAAAAAAAACACACACGCGCGCGCGCGCGCACACACACACACACAAACACAAAAACAAAAACAATGATAAACAAACATGAAATTAAGGGGCAGGGCAGGGGCGGAGCGAGAGGCAATGCACAAGCTTGTTTTTGATGGCGAAGATGATAGCAGAGGCGTGCTCCGCTGCATTGCCCACGATGGGCAGGATGACCACACTGATGAACGCCACTGGCATGTCCCAGCTGTTGCTCGCTCCCTGCGCACACGCACAGGGGGCAAGGGGGGAAGGAATGGCTTTTGGGTCGACTCAGAGGTCACCTCATTGCCCACGATGGGCAGGATGACCACGCTGATGAACGCCACTGGCATGGCATGTCCCAGTTGTTGCTTGCTCCCTGCACGCACGTCGCACACACATATGGGGTAAAGGAGGGAAGGAAGGAGTTGTTGGGAAGGAGTGATTGGATGATGACGGGTGAAGGAGAGTTGCATTGAGGCGCCTCAAAAGGCAGTCCCACCTTGATCAGTGGCATGCAACGGGCATGCCGAGAGGATGGCGACGCACAACCCTATTGAAGAGTCGTCATCCCCTCCGCATACATACAGTGACGACACCCTTTTAAGTTGACGCAAAAAGGCCACCCCGGCATGACTGGCGGGGGTATTGCAAGGAAGATGGTGATGATGCTTATCTGAATCGACTCGACTCTCAAGCAAGTAGTCTTTCCACCCCCCCACCCTGCATGCTCAGCACGACTAGCACACGCGCACCTCAATGGCGTCGACGAGGTATTCCGAGAGGATTGCGATGAAGATGGTGACGATGCCCATTTGAATCGACTCTCAAACAAGTCACCTCCCAATCTGAATGAACGCTCTGCACTACTATCACGCACGCACCTCAATGGCGTCGACTAGATACTCCGAGAGGATGGCGATGAAGATGGTGACGATGCCCATCCACACTATGGACCCCCACAGCCCCAGCACCTCCTCCTCCTCTTCCTCCTCTTCGTCGTCCTCCTTGCCCACCTCCAGGTCCTGCTGGCCCGCAGGTTGGTTGGAGCAGGGGAATGGGAGGAGAACGGGGGAAGGGGAAGGGAGCAGAGGCATGGACGGGTGCAACGCTGCAAGGGAGTGGTGTGGTGTGGGCCGTGCAACGTCGTCCTCCTTGCCCACCTCCAGGTCCTGCAGAGGGTGGGTTGGCGTGGGGCATGGGAGGGACTGAAGAATGAGAGGAGATTGGGGGAATGAAGGGAGCAGGGAACGGGAAGGAAGCAGGAGAATGGGGGGGGCAGGGGGGCAGGAGAATCGGACTATTGCACGTTCCTGAGTCGACTAAAGAATCCCTCACTTACCCCCTCCCTCTACCCACCCTAGGGCTGGCAATCGTGGTGGCGCCCGGATGCACCATCTTCATTTTCGGGCTATTGCACGTGCCAATCACCGCGGCCTCTCAATTCCTGAGTCAACTAAAAAATCCCTCACTTACTCCCCCCTCCCAACCCCACCCACCCTAGGGCTGGCAATCGTGGTCGCTCCTGGATGCACCATCTTCATCCTCGGACTATTGCATGTGCCAATCACGGCCGCCTTGCCCGCCTTTGCACTCCCCGCCGCATCCCCGCCCGCGTTCTCATCATACAGATGCACGTGGGACTTGAGCTGGAAGTAGAGGTACGCGCCGTAGGCCGCGAGCATGATGCAGCTGCTGATGCGCGAAAGGGCAAGCTCCGAGTCGTTGTCTCGGATCTCCGTGTGTGTGGAGTGCAGAATGGCGGGGAGGGCGAGGCCCATCACTGCCATCAGCAGCAGCCCGGAGTTCACCAGTGCTGCCGTCTGGGGAGGGGAGAGGGGGGAGTGTGTGGGGGGCGGAGGGAGGGTGTGGGGGGCGGAGGGAGGGGGGAGGGGAGAGTGATGGATGAGGGTCGGAACAAAAGGCTATCGTGGAGATGGTGGAAGGATAGC